GCTATGAGTCGCAAGCGACTCGACGACACATAACAACAACAACAACAACCCATTCTTGCCCCGTGTATTTTGACACACCCTTTTCCCTATTCCACCAGCATCCCTTTCTACTTCTGCCTACACAATTCAACATCTCTCTCCCCTTGATGGCATACCAATTGACATGTTTCAACAAACAGATGCTGCTCTGGATGTGTTCATTAAGTTGTGCAAAGAAATCTGGAGGACAGCCACCTGGCCAACTGATTGGAAGAGATCAATTATTTGTTCCCTTTCCAAAGAAAGGTGACCCAACAGAATGAGGAAATTACTGAACAATATCATTAATATCACATTTAAGCAAGAGTCTGCTGAAAATTATCCAAAAAAGACTGGTGCAACAGGTCAACAGAGAACTACCAGATGTACAGGCTGGGTTTAGAAGAGGCCATGATACTAGGGATATTATAGCTAATGTTAGATGGATCTTGGCAGAAAGCAGAGAGTACCAGAGGAATGTCTATCTGTGCTTCATTGACTATGCAAAGCCTTTTGACTGTGTGGTTCACAACAAGCTGTGGCTGACTCTAAGAAGAATGAGAAATCCAGAACATTTGATTGTACTTATGCAAAACCTATACTTGAACCAAGAGGCAGTCATCAGAACAGAGCAAGGAAACACTGCATCATACAAAATCGGGAAGGGTATCTGCCAGGGATTTATTCTGTCTCCATACCTTTCCAATCTGTATGCAGAACAGATCTCCTGGGATGTTGGGCAGTATGAGGAGGAATGTGGCATCAGGATTGGAGGAAGATTCATCAACAACCCACGTTATGTGGGTGACACAACCCTGCTTGCTGAAACTGAGGAGGACTTGAACAAAGTATTGAACAAAGCAGAAATCATCAATCAATGATGGAATATATAGAATCATTATACTAAAAACAACTGCTGAACACTGAACTGTTTTAGAAAGCAGTCTAAGTCTAAGAACCAATGACACTAATGGAAGAAATGAAAATGATAGTGAAGATACTGTGAAAAGTAAGGTTCCAGGAATTGATGGAATATCAGCTAAGACATTTTACAAAACAGATGCATCCCTGGATGTGAGTTCAGGGTAACTTTGTAAAACAACAGCCTTATACACACTGTAGGTGTGAAAAACAGTAGCCTACCAACCTAGTCCATGCAGTTTTAGTAGTCCCTGGAGGAGTAGAAAAAGACTGGAGTACCTCAAAAGCCTCATCAAATTTGAACTTTCTAGCAGCTTTCTGGAAAGCCCTATTTATAAGCTTTTTCTTTTACGATTCATCTGATTCAGAGTTCATCCAAGGGTAAATAACCCTATACCTAAACAGTACTCATTGGTACTAGTTTCATCTCACAACTTCTTGAAGTTTCAAGACCCGTAAAACAAACAAGAAACTGACTCAAAAGTCAAAAGATATTCAGGATAAGATGTTTGTCAGGGGCTTTAAAAAGCTCCAGCAAATTCCTCAGGAACATGTCAGCTGTTAAACAAAAGGTAGGCCTCAGAAACCAGAGGACATTCACCATTAAGTCAAAATCGGCTGACAGCAGTGAGTGGATAACATCTTTTGGGGGCTCTAAGGTTACACACTTATACAGAGCTGCACATATGCGGGAAGACCTGAAAAGATCCTTATACTTCACACCTGGGTGACTTCTGAGGCTCTGTGAAAGCATAAAGTGAAGGTTAAAGCAGAGTTGTTTAAAGTGCCAGAGAGGTGAAGGTGGTCCTCAAAACACAGAGTCCTGGATCAAAGTCTAAGACTGGTTGAAGACATCTAAGCAAATATCTGTCCAATCATTAGTTGGCAAATTGTGGCATAGTGTGTTACACATTGGGCTGCTAA